AAAAATAAAAATTTGAAACAATATTTTATATTAAAATTATTTTGTTTAATCAGACTTTAATGTTTAAAGATATTTGCTTTATGTAAATTATAAATTTTTGAAATTATATAGTTTAATTAGAATCTAAAATCTATGAGTTAAAAATGCAGGATTACAATATTAATTTGGTTAGAAAATCAAGGATTTTGTGTTATTGTCTTCATTTAAAGCTTTTTCTATATTGTTTAATATTAAGATTTTTTGTATCTATTGAAATTCGGAACATTCTTAAATTAAATGTTAAATTGTTAAGTCAATTAGGTATTTAATGTATTTGGGTGTTGGATCTTTATTAATTGATAAAGAATGAATGTTTAAATAATTCTTGCTCTTGTAAAAGTGTCTTCTTATCATCTATTGCAGTGTTTAGAATTTACAATTTTTTAGTAATTTTTAATTTATTAGATGGTGGGATAGAGTTCCAATAATTGTTCCATACCATAATCATTTTTTTATTTAATAGAGGTTTTAATATCATTAATTGGTATATCTGTAATTATTCTGGTCACAATTTGTTCACTTATCACCCATTCTAATACTAGTTAAACTCTATATCTATCATATTCAGTAAGTATACATTTAATGTTTTTTTTAAGAAGTTAAATTTGGTTAAAATATTTTATTTATCATCAAGGATTTTAGAGTTCCTGGATTGTATAAATATTAAACGGGAAGTGTTTCTAGATTTTTAGAACTATTGGTCAGGTTTCATAATACTCACTGATAGTTTATAGTTCGAAATAAATTTAAGTTAAATATTTTAGTATAAATATGAGTCATGGTTCATGAAGAATATTGAAAAATAACAATGGGCTTCAATCCAAATATAATTGAAAATCTAATCATTATCAGTTAGGTAAACTGCCAAAACTACCAAAACTAATAAATAAACCAATTCCTAAAAGTGTATTATAAACTATAAAAAAAAAAAAAAAAATAAGTGTACTTAATTCATAGAATTAGAATAGCAGTCATAGAAAATTAATGGAAAACTAAATTTAGAGATAGATCATTGGTACATTTATGTTAAGTTTAAATTAAGAGTTTATCAACAATTATTTGAATAATGTACTGATAGGCTACAAAGCAATTAAAATTAAGCCTTTAAAATTTTGGCTGTGCCATTCATTATTATAGTTTACTAGTTACTACATTCTATGAGTTTTTACATCTTATTTGTATAAGTTAATAAAAGATTTTAATTTAGCAGTAATAAAACTAATAATCATATTTATTTTTGCATATATTTTTATAACAGTTGAAATTTCAATAACTAGTAATTAGTAAATATGATTCATTATTTAAAAATTTTAACTCTTATTATGTAGTTATTAGTATTTACCATTTATAATAATATGAACCAAATAATAACCTGTTGAAAGAATTTAAGTTTTAAAATAAATTGTTGGTGTATTCTGATTATGTAAATGCTTTTAGTTCAATTTAATTAAGTTAATGAAATTTAAATATTGTATTTCATGTTTGTTATAGGTTACTATGGAACAAGTAAAACCTTTATTCTTAACTGGAAAAAATCAAGAACCTATTATAACCAAAATATCTGACACAATGTTTGGTGTTGTCAAAGATTCTCATCTAATTGTTATGAGTACAATGGGTGAAGTAGCTGAACAGCATTTAATAAAATGGATAGACACACCATCTTTAATTTGTATGTAAAAGTTTTATATTTAAAAGTATAAGTATTATGTTTATTAATGAAATTTTATTTTAGTATATGATGAACCTTACTTAATCGCAAGTATAAGTGATAAGTTGTATGTACAAACTATAGAATCAGTTGAAAGTTCGGTGTCACGTCAAGTAATATCAGCTTCTTCTAAAACTATGAATATGTTTACTTGTAAAAATGGTTTAATTTATGTTTCGTCGGCGTTGGATGTTTTCTGTTTAAAAGCAGTTCCATTTTCTAAACAAATCAAACGACTTCTTGAAGATAAAGATTTTCAGCTGGCTTTAAAATTAGCTGTGAGTAATTAACTATAAAGATTATTGAATTATATTTTACATAGTATAATGCATTTTAAATTAAATAATATTTCCTTACAAAAAATGATACAGGTAAAAGAGGCATTTTTTTGGGGGGTAATGATAAATACTCAACTTCAGCCACTGAATAAGTATTATTAAAAGTGTTGTATTTTAAAGTTATATTAGATTTATTTTTAAATAATGTTTAATAACCCATTGACTACTGCTGTGTATACACTATATTCCTTTAAAAAATTGTATTTCAAATTAAATAACATCTATGGCTATTCACTATGATAGTAAATATGATATGACTGTAATTCTCACCAAACATTGCTGACTATATGCAGTCGCATATATGCTTTCTTTTTAATTACAGCATAGAGTACAGAAATAACCAATAGAAAAAATGTATTTCCCAATACAGTGTAGTAAATTAAATTTAGTATAAATAAGTACCTATAGAATTGTATTAATGCGGTTGTCAAAGAGTTAATATTTTAATAAAAGTTTATAATTTTAATCCATTCCACAGATAATTGGTAGTTGTAATTCAACATTTATAATTCATTTATATATTGTTTTTAACTATTTATTGATATCTGATCATTTAAATCTAATTTAATCAAGTAGATATTTTATCTGTATTAAAAACCCCGTTTAAAATTTTAGTTTTGTATTCACCCCTATCTTCTGAGCATATTTTTTAGTAATTTACTTGTAAAAGTTAAAATTATAACTAACATAATAACAAAACAATATTCTCTTACTTTGTAATAAAAAATTATAAAACTACATAAATATAAATTTTATTGACTGATTCTTGCTTATAAAAATCATATAATCATATTAATATATAACTTTAACCTATAATATAGAACATATCTGATGAATCTATTGATGATAAAGATAAAAATGTATCACAAATTAGAACCTTATATGCCAATGATTTATTTGAAAAAAAGAAATATCAAGAATCCATGAGAGAGTTTTTGAAGTTAAATACTGGTATGAAAATTTTATTATTCATGTTTTAACTGATTTTAGTGCAATATTAATTAAATTTTTACAGATCCTTATGATGTTATCAGATTATTTCCAAATTTATTACCCCAAAGTGATTCAGACTATGGAGAAGAAATACTTGAAAAAGAGATGGAAATTAAAATTGTTGCATTAATTGAATATTTAACTGAAGTAATTTGATGAATATTTAATTGATTGTTTTTCGAGATTAAAATTTAGTTTTTGTGAATTTTTAGGTTCGATTCAATCTTTTGAAAGAACCCAATGTTAAAAACCAGTCAGATATCCATGAAATAAATACTAATCATCAAGAACAGTTACTTCAGATTATAGACACAACACTTCTAAAATGTTATTTACAAGTAAGCTTGGTTTTGAAAAATAATGACAAAATTATAATTTTTAAACATGTATGTTATAGACTAATGATGCTCTGATAGCGCCTCTTTTAAGACTTAACCATTGTCATTTATTAGAAACTGAAACAACATTAAAAAAGTATAAGAAATACAGTGAATTAATTATTTTGTACCAAACTAAAGGATTACATAGTAAAGCATTGGAACTTCTTCAAAAGCAGTCAGATGATTTCGATTCTAATCTTAAAGGACCTGAAAGAACTATTCAGTACCTACAAAATCTTGGTAATTACCATTATTGTCTATTATTTATTATTATATTAATTGCTATAGTTTTATGAAATATTTACTTTTTAGGTTCAAATAATATTGATATTATTCTACAGTTTTCTGATTGGGTATTAAAAAAGTACCCAGAAGAAGGGCTTACTATATTTACAGAAGATGTTGCAGAAGTTGAAAATTTACCTAGACCTAAAGTATTAGATTTTTTAATTAGAAATCACAAAAATTTGATTATACCTTATATGGAACATGTAATACATGTTTGGAATGATACCAATGCTATATGTCATAATGCTTTAATACATCAATATAGAGAAAAGCTTCAAAAATACAACACCATGTCAATGCAAGCTGATGAACAAACAGCACAAAATACTAAAATAAAACTTTTAGAATTTTTAGAACAATCAAAGTATTATACTCCTGAAACAGTATTGGTACATTTTCCATTGGATGGTAATGTCAAAAATATTTTGCTATTATTAAATTATTAGATTTCTTATCACCATAACATATAATTTAACAGGATTTTTTGAAGAACGTGCTATAGTACTAGGTAAACTGGGTCGCCATGAACAAGTCTTATCTATGTATGTCACTGTATTGAATGATGTTAACCGAGCGATTGAGTACTGTGATAAAGTTTATAAATCAAAAAATGAAAACTGTGATCAAGTAAATTTAATTACAAAAATAAAAATTGTAATAAATTTCATGTTAATACTTAATTTAATTATAGATTTATGTTATACTATTGAGATTGCTCATTGATCCTCCTGATAGTTGGTTAGCTGGATTAGGGGATGTATCCAAACCAGCACCCAATTTAGAGAAAGTTATTGAAATTTTAAATAAAAATGCTGCTCAAATAGCTATTCCAGATGTATTAAAAGTGTTACCAGATGAAATACCCATTCATCGTATTAGTAATTTTCTAGTTATTGCTCTAGAAAAAGCAATTAGCAATAGGAGGCTTTATCAAGTGAATCGTGGATTACTCTATGCAAAACTTTTAAAAGTAAAAATTATTAATTTTGCGCAATATATAGAACTTAAAATTTTAATATTTAATATACTTTAGATTCAACAACAAAGAATATTTTATGAGTCACAAAATATCACTTTGACAGAATTCAATATTTGTGGAGTATGTAAAAAACGATTTGGAAATCAAAGGTATTTTAATTAATTAAATAATAAACAACAAAATTTTCACTATCATAACATTTCAGTGCATTTGTAAGATGTCCAAATGGTGAGATTGTCCATTATTCATGTCATAATCACAAGGCAGATCAATAAGAATACTTATAATATCCAAGTTTATTGGCATAGGTTAAAACTGTCATGAACAATTATATGGATATGTCGGATCCAGATCCTTCATGATCAGAATCCATAAATGTATCTTCTTCATGTACAACATTATTGAATGGTGTTGATTCGTTTTCAGCATTATTAACACCACTAAATGTGGCATCTAAAAGTGAACCATTTAAAACAGGTCCAGTGGAATCTGCAGATGTGGCTGTTGAAGTATTACATGGTTTACCCAAACTTTCTAAGCTCTCCATAACTCGTTTATTATTCGGGTCAAGACTAAAAAAAAAAACCCCAATAAATATAACATACATAATTTATAAAGTGTAAATAATAAATTATAATTAAAAAAGTTATGTTATATATAACATCAATTTTGGAATACAATTATTAAAAAAAAATCCTATTGTTATCGGATGAAATATTCCAATTAAACTATGTTAAACTAATGTTTTTTATAATAATTAGTATTTAATATTTAACTATTAAATTATTTTTAAAATAAAAAATTAAGTATACTTATGCTATGAAAAATTATTATATTATTATCATTTATTAAATTATATTTATTACAACTATCAAAAAATACCAAATAAGACAGACTTAAATGTTATGCATGTGGAGCAAATATTTTTCTAACCAATAAAAATGTTATTTCATTATATATTGATCGTCTTCAATTATATTTTAATTTTAGAGTATTAAATAATTTAATTTACCAATTTTATGTCAACAATTTTTATTTTCATCAATATTAAAAAAAAAAAATTAATAATAATAATAAACACACTACATACTGTAAATTCTGTGTTTGTAATAATAGTATTCTAATAATAGGATAATTTGACCATTGTATAGATAAATAGACTGACATGCAAAATATACTCATATAATTATTGCAAGATAGTAAACTGGAGTAAATAATTATCACATAACTCGTACATGTGCAACGCTAAAAGTTCATGATATTGACACAAATATGTAAATTAATTAAAACTTTCTAAGACTGTCATATCCTAATAGAACTTTATTTTATTTATAACTAATTTTATTAAAATAACTATAAATTTATGATTGTTCTAATATATTATGTATAAATAAATTATTATTTTTATCAAACTTATGGATAGCATTATGCCAATATGGCTGATACCACATCATTACATTTCATTTTTTCTTGTTTAAATGTTAAATTTCTATATCTTAAAAGTTTCTATGTGAGTGAGAACCATTATTTTTCTCTCTATTATTTTAATTTAAAAGTGTATGTTTGGCAAAAATAGGTATTTCATATCAACATGTTTAATACTAAATATATAATAAATAAATCAAATTAATTACTTTAGTGCAGAATAATAGTAGTCAAATGCTCTTTCTAATTGATTTTGTTTGACACTTAAATCGCCCAACATTTGATATAATCTACAAGTTGGTTGATCTAATGCTTGCCTATGTAATAAAGCAGCAGCAGGACTATAATTTCCATCTTGTTCATATATCTGAGCAAGCATATATATTGCTGGGAGATAATAATCGTCGATACTTATTGCTCTTTCCAAAAGTATTCTTGCTTTAGCAACTGTTATTGGATCTTTCATTAGTATTGAAGCATATAACTAGACAATAATTAAAATTATTTAACATGCATAAATCAAGTCATATTTATAAATAGAAGGAAACCTTTAAATCTTAACTAACAGACAGGATAATTAAATACATTTTCCAACCTCTAAATAAAACAAAATAGGAAAGAAGAAAATTGAAATGAAAATGAATTTTTTTTTTAAATGTGTATTAAAATATGAATATTACTGCTTCTATAATTTTAATTGATAAATGTGATTAATTTTATATGAAAATTTAAAAACCTTTTATGTTAATTAAAAAATGTCTATCAAATATATATATATATAACATACAAATTAATAAAATTAATACTTACTGTTAATGCTTTTGGGTGGCTATTCATTTGTTTACAACAATTACTAGCAGCTGTCAGTGCATTTCTCATCTTATGCAATGCTATATAACAATCTACCATACCTTTATGTGGATCGAACAGATAAGAAGCAATCTAAGAAATAATAGACATTCATTATATCATAATAAAATAATTTAAAAATCAATTGCTTACATCATTAGCTTTACGAAATTGTAAAATGGCATCAGAATATTTTTTCATACTTGTTAATATCATTCCATGCAACAATAGTGCTTCAATATTTCTTGGATCAACAGAACAAGCCTATAAAAACACAACGGTTGGCATACAGTAAATTAAATATATTTATTTAAAAATCTTTTTAAGCACCTTTTGCGCTAAACACAAAGCTTTTGAATAGTTGCTATTACTATAGCATACAAAAGCAAGAACGATCCACATATGGGAATCAATCGATGATTCGTCTGTATAACTTGTTGGGAGCAATTTTTCTAACTCTTTGTTGTGTTTTTCCATGTATAGACACATAGCTAGTGTACACAAGCCATCTTGCATTAGTGGATTTAATTTGTAAGCCTACAATAAGTACCATATTAAAATAATTATAAAAGAAATAATAGTTGAAAAAGTGATGGTTTTAAATCACTAACTCTTTGTAAGTAAATTAATGCATTTTTACGATCTCCATAAAAATAATAAGACTTTCCAATAGCTACTAATAATCTATTACTGTTGCATAAAGGTGAGTTATCATCCAATTGTTTTAATGTATTAATAGCTGCAGGAAATTCAGTCTGTTGAAATAGATATGCATGGGCTTTTATCCAGCCACTAATCCTAAAAATAAATAAATATATCAAATATATATACACAATCTGATTTATAATTTCATAAATATTAAATACTAACCATTCAAGTCCATTAATTCCAACCATGTCTAACATCATAGCATTCACTTCGTTTCCTTTAACACCTAAGCTTAAAAGCCCTTCAGCTGCTTCAATCGCCAGAGGACATTCCTTGAAAAATAAATTAAAATTGAATAAAAACTATCTATAAATTAATTAAAGATTCCAAGAAAAAAAATGTAGTTAAATTTTATCTTCATGAATATAATTTTAAGTTTGAAATTTTTTTTACAGAGTTTAAACTTAAACAACATGACTGAAAATTAACAATAATATAGCTTCTAGCTCATAGAAACTTCAAAACTATTACAAAATATTAAGATACTTACTTTTAAAACTTTGTTATAAGCAGTAACAGCATGAACAATATTGCCCATTTGATGATTTAGTTTGGCAATAGCCATATTAATTTTAGTTTTTCTTTGTTTGGACGGTACCGATTGTAAAATAGCTAAAGCCTGTTTATTATCTTTTAATTTCACCAAACATAAATGTAAATGATATTTTATATCTAAAAAATAAACAGTATTAAGCTATTTTTAAAAATAAAACATAAAACTACATGTGTAACATGTAAAATTTATACTAACCTATATCAGGCATAGGATCTTTTAAGCCATCATATTGTTTTTGAGTAGCTTTTGCAGAAGAACAAGCATCTTTAAATGTCAATGCTGTTTTATACACAGCTTCTGCTTGACGATAATTACCCAAGTAGTAATGTGAATCACCCTGATATGCTAATACACGAAATTTATGTGGAGCTGTTAAGATATCTGTTGAGTGTTCACTAACTTTTAAAACCATCTCTGCCTAAATTGTAAGAAAAATGAGTTAAAAAATATGTTAAAATAAAATAACACTATAAAAATACGTATAAAATTTACCACTTTTATGACATTGGAATATAATTTTTGGCTGTGTAACAGTTTTATTTGATCAAATAACATACTCATTTTGAAAAATAAATTTAAACTGTGTTTAAGATTATTTTTAAAAACATTAACTATTGGCACTTTTAAACGTAATTGTGTATAAAATTAATATTATTGTTACTTTTTATAAGTAAAAATCTTAAGCAAAAGATAGGAAAATATAATATTAAAGACCTATTTTAAAATAAACAATACGATAGGTACAATAATTGACAATAATTATTGTCAATTAGATAAATTTTAATTAAGAATCGGGGAAAAACGTTATTTTGGAAAAAGTACAATTTCGGTTAACTATAGTAGAAAAAGTTAAACATACTAAATGGTTAATAAATAAAAAATATAATAATATATAATAATGATTAACGGCTTAATTTAATACGGCATTACAGCGTTAATTATAACATTTATAATGATAATGTCTCTATGTATAATCTGTAATCTGTGTGTGTTATCACTATCATAACATTGATATTTATTATTAAATAGAATAAAAGACCAATAAAATTACGGGAATCTTATGAATTTGAGAATTTGTAGCGCTCCTCGTGGTAATTATATACTCAATTTATTTAATCTATATTCCCGCGTAAATCGAATTTAAACGTAATAGTTTATTGTTAAGCACAAAAGACATAGGTACCAATACTTAAAAAGTGTACACAATTTAAGCAATGAAATAATAATAATAATAACAATAACAATTATAAATATGATCATGACGTAGATTAATCTCTTATATTATTATACGTATTTCATGTAAAAGAAGAAACCAATCAAGTGACTGACTGGCATATCAACGCAAAACTCGCTGGGTCTAGAAACTTTAACAATCCTGATCCAGCCCTTACCTCATCACACCTACAAATATAGAAACATTTTTACTACTATACAAACACGGCAACGCTGTCTGTTGGCAAAAGGTATCTACACAATATACATATTTATTTATTATTTAAGACATTCCTAGCTAGATTGCTGTCAAAGTCTACTGTTGAGTATTTACAATTTTTTTTCCCACTTTTTATATAATTACAATATAATAATGGTTAATAACGTAATATTTACAATAGTAAGGTTAAATAAATAGTTTTAGTGAGTATGTTTTGCACGTTTTAGGCAATTGCTAGTGGTGGTTGTCGTTTATTCGGTAGTGGGGTCTTCGTACTCACGAGTCGGCGAGCTTACATTTAGGTTGTAGTGGATGGCTCCACTTGAGTTTGTAAGTGAACGAAAAAATCTATTCGTTATAGTGTTTATGTGTCCGTCAATTGTGAGAATTGACAAATCTTTGTGCAATGTATTATTGTTACGAACAAATTCGGGGACGTCTATTATTATGCAAAGTATTTTGGTATATTTGTATTTTTATTTAAATGGACTTTTGCACAACTTCCTTAAATAGGATATGCGCATAAAAGTTTACTTAATGTTCTTTTTACTTTTTTCATAGTATTTCTGTATTTATACACATAACACATAATGTCATATTGTCATGTTAGAATGTTCTTTTTTTTTAAATTTTTTACTCAGTTTGCTCTTCAGATTTTCTGTTTGTTGCTTCCATAAATATCCCAATAAGCCATTCTTGTTTGGCTTTAGCCTTTAGATGTATCTTTAATGCAGCATTCATTTTAGTTTAACTATATTTGTATTGCCGGTCTTGAGCCCTAATTTTGAAGAGCAGACATATTAAAATGAATAAAATGATATTCATTTTCAGTTTCAACATGCAAATTTTGACGATTTATTGATTTAAGAATATTGCTTTTACTTATTAATTGTTCTATGTCAAAGCCGTAAGGTTTTGCAGCTAAACTCGAGCAAATAAAATAATAATATTTTTAAACTCGTTGGACCCACATAAATATTTCACTAATTTAGGCAATGGTATTTGTCGTATCTCTTCTATTATTTTTTATTAAATCTGTGTACTCCATATTTAGGTCAGCTAAATTCAAATACATTTCTAATGTTATTACAATAAAGTTTAGCAACAGGTTTAATAATTAATAGTACTAAGTATTAACAAAATATTTATCAATATCTATACGGCCATGCTAAAAGTTAGCCAAAGTTTTTACTTTTTCATGGTATATACTACTTATAGATTTATCTTCAGCAACATACAAACTATTCTTGTTTTCGTTTTTTTTGAAAATCAATTGATTTTATATCTTTTAGAGCTTTTCCATAATTCCATTACTTTTAAGTTCATTTTCAAATACATCTACCAAATCACTAACTTAATTAATTGAACTCAATGATATAATTTTATTTATAACTGCCAATTGATTCAGTATGTTTAACAAAATCCAAAACCATTGTTTTATCACTTTGAATAGTTTGTTGATAATTACTAAAAATGACCAATCGGTACATCTACCAAAAATACTTATAAATAAATAGTGTCTTTATTAGTTAAAAATAATACAACCTGTTAGACTCTTTCTCTTTAGAATTTTGTATGTATATAACTAGAGCTTTCTATGAAATTAATATTGCGTTAATTATAAACTAAAAGAAAATTCTGTCAATCGCAATTGAAAAAATTTTAATATCTTCATTAGTTGTAAATTATTTTCCTTAAGCAGTTGTTGTAGTTCTCTAGTTCGAAATTGTCAGTCAATGGAAAAATAAATGACAATAAAAAAATTCTAAACAATATATTTTAAAAATTTTAATAATTATAAATATAATACTGATATGAGTGACACGCGATGGTAACCTGTTCATCAGTGATTTCATAATCAGTATTCAGTGACTCAGTGTTACATATTTGATATTCTTAAAAAACTTTAAAGAGTTGGTTCTTGTAATCTTGTCTATGATTTCTAATAATAAACATTCCTTGTAATTTACATTTTTAAATTATAAATTATTAATCATTAATGTACTAATCAGGTATTGGAACATAAATTGATTTTCTTATTGAAAATAAGTTCGTATACTTATAGGAACTACTATTTGCTGTCTTCTCTTACTATAATAAAACAATTATGCTAAAATTGATTATCAAGTGCGCACCTAGCTTTTCTAAATACGCAAATTAAGACTAACTGCGTTTTAGAATAAGCATTCTCTATCTATTAGAGTATGTACAAATAGTTTACATTTTTTTTGTCAGCTATTATATTAACTGTTTAATATTAATCATTTTTATAAAAATTTTACTTAATATCACATCATATAATTGAATCATATTCAGATAAAGACATCGGTGTAGTGTTGCAAATTTCGATACTTGGTTAAATCACACATCTTCAGTGTGACTAATTTTTTTTTTTTGCTAAGCCTATAGGCTGTAGGCTATAAGACATCTGCTATGAGCCCGTGCTTGATTCAATTAAATTTCGGGATTTAATTTTATACAACATTTCTATTGTTATGTTTTGTTTCCCGTGTGGATATTGATATGGATATATATAACGCGTTAAAGTATAGATTCGGTGGCATACCTAATACCACGACAGCTTTTTTTTTTTTATTAGAAAAATGTGATATAACAGAATTGTCCTGCAGTATATACATTGTCTAATATTCTTGCTATCAAAGTTATCTCTTGCTGCGAGGTCTTGACTGTGAAATTTGCGAATTTTTTGCCTTACCTATTTTATTATAGATTTTAGAGAAGACAATTCATGTTTTCTCTTTCCGTTTCGTATTGTATCTCGGTAACATAAGAAAACATAATATACGCAGTGGTGCATTTAGTGTATACGCGCCCCGGAGCAAAATAATTTTTCTGTATCCCCCTTAAAAAAAAAAAAAAGAAATTCTAAGTTAGGCAATAATAAAATACATTTTATGAAACAAATCTTAAATCAGCTATTTTGCAATATTGTATTAGGTTATTTCAAAGTAAAATATATCCTAAGGTTAGTCTAACTTTTTTTTTTTCAAAATGAATATTCCTTTCTTAAAAAAAAATATATATTTAATAAGAAAACGGTATCAACACTTATTATATACACAATGATTTTTGTGGTACCTAACTAAATTAACAATACATGGTTTTTATTAGAATAAATATATAATATTAATTATTAATTATATATACCTAATAAAACAAACTATAAAAGGCTTGAACATTTTTTTCTTGACTTTTGAGAAGTCAAAGATTCAATAATCTTATTAAAATTAATTGTTTTTTGTTAAATCAGCTTTAATGTTGAGGAATACCAATAAATTAAGATGATTTTCTGCCATTGTTAATCTTAAATAAATTTTAACCCCTTTCAATGTAGAAAATGACCTTTCCGTTGAACAATTACTTAATAGTGAACATAAAAGCATTTTAAGAGCAATATCAATACAAGAATCTATTTCAACTAAACTATTCTGTTTTATAAATACCATATATTGAACACTTTTAAGTTTTAGGTACAATTTTATTTTCATTTTATAAACTTTTTAAATGTACCCTAAAGTGAATACATTCATTTGAGAATGATATTTTCTAATTTCCGGATATATTTTCTGAAGTGATTTAGCTTTTTGCGTACCTCTATGCTGGTGATGGTGGTTAAAGAGATGTATAAATACATAATATAAAGGGTAAATATACAATATATAAATATGAGGTATTATATTTTATAGAATACGCATGTATTAAAAATCAGGAAAATTAAAATAGTAAACAATACGTCATATACTACATGTAACATGTCTATACATAATATACGTCTATACACGTGGGTATCTATATAAAAATATACAACGCACTATTTCACTATCAAGATTCAAGTGTCAGTGACTTGTAGGTATGTCTCGCCACTTCGTCAGTTGTCGTAATTACTAATTTATTACTTAATTTCCGACCGATCATCAATAAGACGATAATAATGTTATAATATCACATTTGTTTTCGTACATCGCCGATTCTGTCGAAAAATATTCATAAAATCATAACCATCTCCAATTAACAATAATATAAACTACGCTTACCAAACGGCACAACAGATAAAATGTATTACTTATTAGCTATTAATTACTATGAACATTGAACGAAAATAATATTA